TTCAATTTGACTATTCTCTCCCAAGCCGATATAAACACCAAATTGAACTCTGGGACCTTTCTTCTTCATTGTGTTCTCAGGTCCCACTCTTTCTTGGTATGCATCTATTAAGTGGTCAATTTCCATTTTTTTTTATGGATGGTTTTTCTGAAGATTATGGTTTGTGGGTTTTTCTCCTTTGATTTCAAAAACTGTTTGTGAACAGTATGAGGTTTTTTGTTACGTAAAAAATATGAAGGTTTTGTTGTTGATTTTGTTGGGTTTGTAGCTGATGTTGTGCTTCTGATATTGAATGTGCTTTTACTGGTAATTTTCCATTTCTCTCTCTGTCTAGTTGTATCGATTCGTTCTTGTCGGGTTTTAGAAATCAAGATTTGTATGTGAATGAGAGATGTAACTGAAAGGCATTTCTTTGCGTGAATGCTCTATATAATTGCCCAGAAAACATTTGACAAAAATAGCATAAGAGGTAGGGGATAAGCTATGGATGAAAAATGGTTGTTGTGACAGTTTGATTAGATTTATGACCTATACACATTTATCATCATTTGATCTATTTGACAGTCAAGATTAAGCGATGCATAAGTCCATAAAATCTAAAAAAATCTGTTATATGAATATTCTCAAATCTTCCAAAATCCATATAGCCCTCTGGCCCTCCAAGAAATTAATATTTTAATGAACAGTACATGATTATATTTGCCTCCGTCTCCAACCGAGAGCCATAGGGCCAAACATAATTTTTATGTTCGTTAATGTTATTTCCATGGGGCCCACGAGCCCTTTGGCCTAGCCCTCGGTTAGAGACGATTTTCGGACTATTTTCGGCCATCTGGCCCTCTTGACCCTTCGGTTGGAGATAGCCTAATTACACCCACAAAATTCAACCAAATGAGAGCCCATTTCTCGTGCATTTATAGTGTTTAAGGGTGCCTTTACTTGGGAATGGCCCTGTGAAACCCCGTTCCTGGATTTCACTATTATAATCTATGTATTGGTATTATTGAGATTGTATATTATTTTTTTGGGAATTTATATTGATTTATTTGAATTTAGATTTTAATTAAACTAATTACGAAGTTTGAAGTTTGAAAATTAATTAATCAAAATCTGTAGACCTTTCGAGGTCACAGTTAAGGTTTTCGAATAGATCTCGAAACCATGAGCGCATAGGTGAAATCCGTTTGCGAATTTGGATTATAATGGTATAGTTACAGACATTTGGCGAATCCGGATTATAACGGTATAGTTACGGACATTTGAAGTCGTCTTACTAAACTATAGTTTTTAAGTTAAATAAATTCCCACAAGAGGCCCAATCAGTTTTAAGAAGGAGACCAATCAGAAATAAAGGAGAGAAGAGGAAGTGCCCAATGAAAAACAGAAGAAAGAAGGGGAAATGAAGGAAAGAAGGGGCACGGGATCATCCGCCCATTCTCCCTTGCAACCCGACCTGCCCCCGGCGGCTTTTCCTGACGAGTTTCCGTCCCTTTTTCTGACCTTCTTCATCCTTCCACCACCGTCAAACCTCCTCACAACATCCCATCATCCTATTCTATGCATAATCGACGTGTATTGGTTATAATTTCACAAAATTTAAACCCGTGGGTGCCGTGAGATCCTTGGTCGAGATCCACCAAAATTGAAACGTTCTCTTCCAATTACCATTACCATTAGACTTCCCTTGAGACCTAGAAGAAAGCCCAAACAACTATACGGACGGCGGAGCATCGGAGGTGACGGATCAGAGCACACCCATTTTAGGGTTTCCAACGGTTCAAGTGAAATTGGGGCCTTTTCACGACAAATTAGACTTGGCCACAGGTATGAAACTTGTTCTATTCACTGAGACCTATTTTCCTGTAAAATTTGGTAATTTTTGGAAATAGTTGAATTTTCCGGCGAGTCGGGGCGGCGGCACGTGGCCAATGGGCTGACGATGTCCTCCTAAATCCAATTAGATGCCCTGAATTCATAATTGATATTTGTATGAAGTGGTTTGATTGTTTGAACTTAGTTTCATTGTGATACATCACTTGATCAAAATTTGAATCGACGATGCGACTATTAGATCGTCACCAAACTTTAATGCATTATAAAACGTAATATTTGAGGATAGCTAGAACTAATAGATCAGGAATCCGATGTACGGATCTTTCTGAATTGGAATTCTAAGTTAGTAAAATTAATTGTTAACCGGCACCTAATTCTAGTAATTGGTGGAGATCCGACCGTCGGATCGCCATGAGAGTTTAGTATGTTGTTCTCTTAGCATAATGTGGACATTAGGAAGTTACGGATCTATATTATGATGTGCAGATCTTCCGAATTAAATTGCTAGGGTGTGGATCCCACCGTTGATTTTTCGTCAACGGGTCTTAAACCATTTGAATTACTAAAATTAGTATTACTAGAAACTCAGTGAAGCCTTGTAGATTTTTCTCGGTGAGTGACTTTAATATATGTGATATGGTGATTACCGGATTCCTTATATTAATATCCTTTGTGGATATGCATGGTTTTATAAATGTGTTTACTGTTGAAATGTGATTCTTTTATAATTGGCCATCTATCTATTTTTATTAAATGTGATTTGATTCATGGATTGATAATATTTGTGGAAAAGTGATTCGAATTGCATATTGAAATATTTTGTAAATTGAGGGCTAGTAGAGGACTATGACCATGCTTGGTTAATCTGCATTGGGGGGTCATTAGTGGTCCTACTTAGTTAATCCGCATTGGGGGACCGTACTATATATGGATTGCGCTTGGTTAATCCGCGTTGGGCTATCCTTATGGCCAATTATATTGAGGGGTGATCATACTTGGTTAATCCGCGTTAGGTGATCACTGTCTAACAGTTCTGTATGTGTGACTCTGCTTGGTTAATCCGCGTTGAGGGGTCACTACCTACCTAATTATCTTGACCCTGCTTGGTTAATCCGCATTGGGGGTCATTATTGGTCCTGCTTGGTTAATCCGCATTGGGGGACCATACTATATATGGATCGTGCTTGGTTAATCCGCGTTAGGCGATCCTTATGGCCATGTATACTTAGGAGTGATCATGCTTGGTTAATCCGCATTGGGTGATCACTTCCTAACAGATGTAGAAGTGACTCTGCTTGGTTAATCCGCATTGGGGGGTCACTGCCTACTTGGTTACTTTCTTAGGGGTGGCTCTGCTTGGTTAATCCGTCTTGGGGGGCCATTTCCTATTTGATTACTTATGTAGGCTTCAGCCGAACTGGGTCCATCTAGCCCTAGTTTTTAATGTACGTATGATCGATGGTTTTTGAGAATCTTGTGATTTGAATTAGAAAAACCGTTGGATGTATGGGTGACTCCTTCGGAGTTTCCAGTGACTTGATGATGATTCCATAAAGCATGATTCTATACTGGATGTTTATAGATTGTGATCGATGGTCTGTTTTAATTGATTATCACATACTTGTGTTATTGTCACTTACTCGAGCTTCGCAGCTTACCCGAGTGTCTGATTTGCCCAGTGTGCTATCTCCATGATGTAGGCATTGACTTTACATATGACAGGTCTGGGTAGATAATGAGAAGCAGCTTGGTATTTCAGTTCTGTTGAGTGGTCCGGAATCTTTGCTCTTACCCATTTTCATAAGGTTAGTCTAGAACCCTAGATTTTTATGAATGGGAATTACCCCCAATAGACCTTGTGAATATAAATTAGAATTACCATGTGTATTACTCATAATCCAAGTAGGGAATTACATAGAGTTCCTTAATTAAATTCGGGAAATTATATGTTATTTCATTAATTGATTAATATAGTTAGATATTAATATCGGGCATCTTGGATTTATGGAATTGATTAATTGACGTGATCGTAGAATGACGTTGGGTATGATTGAGATTATTATGATTAGATTAGTTGATCATTGTGACTTGAGAATAATATTGTGCTTCGTTGGTTCTTTGATATGTTACATACTATGAATTGTGGTATTATGTGAAACAAAGTGATTTATATGATGGATAAATTGGAAAGCATCTGTGTGAGAATGGCATACCAGCGTGCATGATAAGGTGATATTTGTTGTTTGGCGTTAAGGTTGATGTGTAGTGTGGTACTTTATGAGTTTTGTTAGAAGTATTTTACAAAAAAGTTTTAGAGCTTGACGAATGGTGAACTACGAATGGCTTGAATCCTATTGAGAGTACGTAGGCAGTGTAACGAGGAGGTTAGATGCAGCCATAAAGTAACGAAAAATTACTTTGAAATTTGATTCTCGTGTTGTGATTTGCCATATCCCGGAGGCGAGGTATGTGAGATGTACGAGTATTTGGTAACGTCACGTGTCGATCCTGAACGTATGTCAAGATCGGGGCGTGACAGGCCCAAGTTAGGTTTGTATCATTTTCTTGACAATTTAACAATTATTAACAATATGAAAGAAATAAAAGATCTTGTGTATGCTTATAAGTAGTTTAACTACTTATCATATCATCAATTAGTTTTATAGTGATCTTAATTTCTTTATGGTAGATTGTTCCATGTATGAAGCTCCACGTCGCTTAATTTATGTTGTCCACATGTTGGACTTGAAAATTCATCATAAATGAAGAAGCGTGTTAAGAGCATACATAAATCCCTCATAAAATTTGCTAATTAATATTATGGTGATACCTCAATAATATTATATCATATGATACATTATGCCATGTTAATATCATAATATGAATTAACACTCAAAATCTAATAAAATACTGTAGGAAATTTTAATACGCCAGTACGTACAAGCCTATATCCTGTTCTACTAACAAATATAACAATCATCAAATGACAAGTGTCATAACCTTGCCCTTCCATACTCTTATCACCTACCAGGAACATTTTCCACAACCGTGTTTTCAGGCTTATATCCAATTTAATTCATTTTCTTTCAGTCTAGTTTCCTATATTAGCTAGGAAAACCTACACCTTCATCCAACAAAAAGCAATTTAACTTTGTAAGAAAATTTCCATGGGGAGGACTGGATTGTTTGATCTTGAAAGGCACTTCGCCTTCTATGGAGCATATCACAGCAACCCGGTTAACGTTTTGCTACACACTTTCTTAGTATGGCCATTAATCTTCACTCTTGATGTTCTTCTCCACTTCACACCACCTCTCTATAATTTCCCATCTGGGTTAAACTATCACGGTTTCGAATTGAATGTCGGGTTGGTTTTGACTTTGATGTATGCTATCGTTTGTGTCAAATTGGACAAGAAAGCTGGGTCCTTGGCAGCTTTGCTATTGTTTCTCACCAGGGTTGGAGCCAGTGTTCTTGCTAATGGGCTGGGTTTTGCTAAGTCATGGAAGCTTGTTCTTGCTGTTTAGGCTTTCTGCTGGCCTGCACTGCTCATAGTCTTAACTACTACAGAAATGCAGAAGAAATCTTAGAGAGAAATCGAAGAAGAAGAAAGGAACTAAAGAAATGCAGAAGAAATCTTAGAGAGAAATCGAAGAAGAAGGAAGGAAGGAATAGAGAGAGAGAAAGAAAAGAAACTGAACAGTCTTTCTGTATATTGTATTGAATGAATGATTACACATGGTTTGCTATACTTATAGGTGTTTACACTTGATGACTCAGCACTCCCTTTCTTAACCAACTAACTAACTTGTAACTAACTTGTACTAAATGACATGTGGTGCATGATAGGCTATGATACACCCTCAGTTATTATCCCCCCTCAATCGCAGCTAGGGTAACCTAGCCTGAGATTGCAACAATGCCGAACAAAGGCAGGACCATGCAATCCTTTGGTCAAGATATCTGCAGTCTGATGATCAGTAGGCACATACTGAACCTGTAAATCCTTCCTTTGAACCTTTTCGCGAACAAAATGAAAATCCGTGTCCAAATGCTTAATTCGTGTATGAAAGACAGGATTTGAACAGAGAGCTAAAGCAGAAAGATTGTCGCATTGCAACAATGGTGGTTCAGACAAGAACTGATGTAGGTCTTTTAACAGTAGTCGTATCCAGACAATATCAGCTGCACAATGTGCCAAGGCCTTATATTCTGCCTCCGTGGAACTTCTTGAGACTGAGGCTTGCTTCTTAGACTGCCACGATATAGGATTGGACCCCATGAAACCACAAACCCAGTAACAGATCTCCTTGTATTTGGATCAGCAGCCTAATCAGAATCGGAGAAAGCAGTTAAGGATGTGTCCTGTGATGCTGAATATGTAATGCCACACTGCAAAGTACCTTGGATATACCTTAAGATTCTTTTAACTAGATCAAAATGTATATCAGTAGGAGTGTTCATATATTGACAAGCCACACCCACAGCATAGGACAAATCAGGTCTAGTAAAAGTGAGGTATTGCAGAGCACCAACTATACTCCTATATGCACTTGGGTCTTCCAAAATCGTACCTTCCGTAGCCAGAAGTTGAGTATGAGGCTTGCATGGAGTTGCAGTAGGTTTACAGCCAGCCATTCCAGCTTTATGAAGCAAATCTCTTGCATACTTAGACTGATTGATGAAAATATCCCCATTGGCCTTATACTCAACTTGTAAACCCAGAAAATAAGCCAATCTACCCATATCCTTTAATTCAAACACATCTCCAAGTTCCTGAATTATAGCCTGAACCTGATTCTTATTGGATCCAGTGAGAATGATGTCATCTACATATAGTAATAGAACAACAATATCAGTGCCATCATGTTTCACAAATAAACTTGTATCAGATTGAGACATTTGAAAACCCATTGCAGGTAAGTATCCTGTAAATTTGGCATTCCATGCACGTGGGGCCTGTTTTAAGCCATACAAAGACTTCATCAGCTTGCATACATATCCAGGATGAGTAGAATCCACAAACCCTTGTGGTTGTTTCATATAAACCTCTTCCTCCAATTCACCATGCAAGAATGCATTCTTAACATCTAACTGTCTGAGGTCCCACTGAAATTGAGCTGCAAGAGAAATGATCAACCGAACTGTGGTATGTCGCACAACAGGACTGAATGTCTCAAAATAATCTAGTCCATGCTCTTGATTATACCCTTGAGCAACTAATCTAGCTTTATATCTTGAAATAGACCCATCAGGATTCTTTTTCAGCTTGTAAACCCATTTGCTACCAATAATTGCTCTGTGTGTAGGTGGAGGGACAAGCTTCCATGTGGCTTGAGCCTTCAATGCATTGAACTCTTCTTGCATTGCTCTTTGCCAATTAATATTTGTAGATGCACTTCGAAAGGTTGTAGGTTCTGCTAGATCATTAATTTGAGCCAAAAAGGAAAACCCCCCAGTACCAAAATTATCATGTTCATCAATATGTAAAGTTGACAACTGAGGAAAGCTAGCTATAAAGGCTGAATAATCTTTTCTTGAAATAGCCCCTGTTTGTAACCTAGTTTGCATCCTTGGAACAGAATTATCAGATTGAATATGCTCAGATACTTCAGAAGAAAGTAGAGGAATAGTTACCTCTAATTGTGCAGGATTGTGGACAGGTAACATCAAAGCTGTGTGTGGAGGAGATGAATGAGTTGTTTCAGTTGACTGAGAAGATGCTGTTGTTGAAATATGAGGACTTGTCCCAACTGTACTTGTACTAGTCTCATTAGGTGGTGCACTGACAGAATGTGGAGGACTCACACCTACGAAATCAGATGTCATATTTCTGCCATCAAAATCACCAGAACGAGGCTGCACTGGAAGCGTAACAATAATAGGACCAGTCACAGACCTATCTTTAAAAAATTCACTCGAAGAAGACACCTTTGTAGTACAACGCATGACTTTGTAAGGAAACACACTCTCATCATGTATAACATGCCGGGATATAATCAATTTCTGAGACTGCATATGAAAACATAGTGCTCCCTTATAACCTTCTACATAACCTACAAACACACATTGAACAGCCCTTGGTTGCAATTTTTTCTCATTATACGGTCGGATATAGGGATATACTGCTGTTCCAAATATCTTAATATCTTGTAAACTAGGCTTTATACCAAACAGCAACTGATAAGGAGATTTCATCCCTAATGTCTTACTTGGCATCCTATTTATGAGATATACAGAATGTGCACAGGCATGAAACCACAAGTTCTGAGACAAATGAGTAGTGGTCATTAAAGTAATGGCAGTCTCTATGATGTGTCTATGCTTCCTTTCAGCCATCCCATTCTGTTGAGGGGTGTAGGGACACGAAATCTTATGTACTACACCTTTAAGTTGCAAGAAATCATCAAACTGTTTACTTGTAAACTCTCCACCCCCATCAGTTTGAAGACATTTAATGCTAACATTAAACTGATTATGAACAAAGCTAAAAAATCTCTGAAAGACACCAAAAACTTCTGATTTATTGATTAAAGGAAATATCCATACATGCCTTGTGAATTCATCAACAAAACTAACATAGTATCTATATCCTTCTATAGATCTAGTTGGTGAAGGACCCCAGAGATCGGAGTGAACCTTCTGAAATGGAAAAGTACATGTATTTGTCCTATCTAAAAACACCTGCCTTGACATTTTTCCAGAAATACAGAAGGAACATACATGCTGATTATCATCCACTGTAATAGCTATATCTTATAGTTTCATCATCTCTATAAGCACTTCATTGCTGGGATGTCCAAGTCTTTGGTGCCACACTGTAGACTTCACCTTATAACCAAGTAATGCTACGGCCTTCGGAACTGATGTAGACAAACACCTGGGAAACAGCTTGACTGGAATCCGAAACAACTCACCATCCTCACTCCTTCCTTGGTAAAGAACAGCTTTGGTTACCTTGTCCTGCACATAGAAATTTACATCATCACATATGAACCAGCAGAAGTTATCTTTGCACAATTGTTTAACTGACAGTAAATTCACAACTATAGTTGGCACATGTAAAACATTCCTCAAAATCAAAGAGTAAGGTGATGTATTTAAATGTGTAGACCCAATATGTGTGATTGGCAAACCTTCACCATTGCCAATTGTAATTTTGTCATTGCCGGGATATGAAGTGACTTGTTGCAAAGAATCAATGTTTGCAGTCATGTGATGAGAAGCCCCAGTATCTATAATCCAGGAATCATTAGGTAAAACTGTTGGTGGAGCATGAGCTTGCATTGCTGTAAGATTAGGAGCAGGTGGTGTCCCTTGATAAGCAAAGTTATTCCTGTGATAACAATCTAATGCACTGTGCCCTTTCTTGCCACAAATCTGACATTCCATACCCTGTCCACTTGAGCTTGATTGAGTAGACCGTTTCCAGCAATTAGGGGCTGTATGCCCTCTTTTGAAACAAATCTGACATTCAGGCACTATGTTGGGCTTTACCTCAGTATTACCAGACCAAGATTGCCCGCTTCCTCCATTTGATCTGCCCCCAAACTGACCAGACTGACCACCTCTATTGTTTCCATAGTTCTGAGATCTGTATACACCATTCCCATTTGGCTTGGAGCCATACTGAGGTCGAGAACCATTAGGATGGAACTGTCGTGGAATATTGGCTGTCCCCACAAAACCATAAGCACTGGCATTCTCATGATATCCTAAATCTTGATGTTGTGAAAAGGGATAAGATGAAGGAAACATCACTGGTGCTGAAGACTGTGAAAAGGGCAAATGTATCGGAGCTTGAGACTGGGAAACAGGATATGGCATCTGTGCAACATTTGAAGATGATGTCCCTGAGCTATAGTGTTCTTGAGACTGAGAGAATGGATAAGGAATCTGTGCAACATTAGAAGATAATACTCCTGAGTTATAATGTTCTTGTGACTGTGGAAAAAGATATGGCATCTGAGCAGCATTCGAAGAAGATGCTCCTGAACTATAATGTCCTCCAAAAATAGAATGTGCACCTGGTATCGGTGTTAAAGTACATCCGGGAATAAGAGGCACATTAGTAGAGTTACTAGACGACCCTTGAGCCATGGAAGAATAAGTACCAGAACCAGAACTCCCTTGCATATACAATCCAGCAATATTAGGAGACAAATTTTGAATAACAGAATCAGCCTCTCTTTCTGCACACAATAACTGCTCCCTAAACTCTCTTAGCGTCATAGTAGTATCTCTGGTAAAAATTACAGTTCTTATAACCGAATACTCTCTTGGTAAACCAGACAAAGCTGCAACAATAAAATCATTATCACTGACTACTTCTCCAGCTGCAACTAACTGATCTTTAATATTTCTAAGACGAGACAAATACTGATCAATTGAACTCGCCCCTTTCTGCATAGTCTGAAACTCTGTCTTGAGGGTATTAACACGAGCTTTAGAAACAGATGCATATCGATCTTGCAAATTTATCCAAGCTTCATGCGTAGTTCTAGACCCTAAAACATACTCAATTGAC